CCCCCCCCCCCCCCCCAATTATCGATATTCCGGCGCCTCTGCTTTCGAGAGAGATTGATTCGCAAAAATATTGCATGCGTATTTTAAATGATTGAAAAACACTATAAGGCACGATAATGAGAATATTAAATAAAACACCCTTTATTCTTCCTGTTTGCTTACATTTTAGACTGAAGAGATTTTCACTGGGAGGAGGGGGTATAATAAATTTAATTTACTGACGAAACAACAATGGGGCTGTGAACTTTCCTCCACTTCATGACAGTTAAGAAATTAAAGGCCTTGAATGTCTATTTGCAAAAATTGCTGCATTACCCGAAGATCCCGTTTTTGTTTCTCAACGTTCTGGGCTGCAATGACAGCATTGATACCAACATGGAATACCTGCAGGAAATTAATTTCCAGATTAAATATTTCAAAAACAAGTATAGTCGTCTGACCATCCATAACTATACTTACCTTCCTTCCTATCTCCATACCATCATGCATCGCAACCTATTACCTTGCCCATCTTGATATAAACCCAACCCTATTTGCCAACAAAATACTTCTGTGGTTTATTTTACTGATTTCAAGACCTACCCAACCACCTACCTATACATATTACTGACCTTCTCAAATTTCCACCAAACTTCTGTACTTGCAATTTCTACTGAGTACAACCTTTATAGGTTATCTACAGTATAATCTAGCTAAAGCTTACCAACTAATTCATTCTAATTAACTAATTCAAAATAATTGCGTTTTGGGAATATCGGTAGTTTATTTCGAACAAAGTAAATTGCTCTTCATGTCTTCGGCCATTCTTTAAATCACGTTTTATTACAGTACACAGACAGGACCTCCATCTCAATTGCAAGCTAACGCATAAATGGAGTTGATTTAATAAGCAGATTGTATATACATTACCAAAATGATATACAGTAAAAAGCAACGTCAACGTTTAATCAAGTAAATCAGTCTATTTTGGAATGGTTATAAAATAAAATTCATATCCCAATCATTTGTCTCAAACGAACAAACGTTAAAAATTGTATTCTATTTTTACGTAAACTATACCAAAATAATTAAATTAATGCAATCCATTAACTCACTAGAGAATTAAACATAAGATCCAAAAGACTGAGTGCGTGGATATCACTTGAATCATCATTTGACGTAACTAAAATTAGCATGACGCTTTGAAAATAAAATATTACGATTGAAGTAAATAAGCGAGTACTGCATGTATGTTAAGTATATAAGAGCCATTCATGAGCAACTAGCCAATAGACCTTATGCATAATGACGTCACAAGGCATGATGCCCGCGAGGAATGCTGGTCTTAGTAGTCATTGCCCGGGAAATTTTCAGTAGTGGCCATTTTGAATTATTTAATTTTCCCGGGCGATGACTACTAAGACCAGCATTCCTCGCGGGCATCAAGCCTTGTGACGTCATTATGCATAAGGTCTATTGACGCTACAATTTGAAACGTTAGTGGCAGAGAAAGTTTGACGATGCGCGACAAGTTACATGAAGCATCTAATCTATGAATACACCCACTGCAACTTTCTTTCCTCACAACCTTTTGAAAAAATAACTACAGCTGTAATCACGAAACCGTCTAGCTTGGATACTGTAATTCAAAACGAAAAATATACTGTAGTCACATTACAGGTCCCAAAACTACAACATGCATTTTTTGTGTGAAAAAAATCTGTTGCAAGTTGCAGAGAAAATTGCCTCATGTAACATGGCCTTACATTTATGGTGGTAGGAAAATTGAGCAGATGTTTTAATTTTTAACATACAGTAACTGCTTCAAAGGTGAAGATAGTACTGTAATACATGAATTTATTCAGTCTCTGGCTTGTTTGAGAATCAGCATTACCATTGTATGTATGTACTATTTTCTAATCTAATTTTTGGTAACTCATCACTACTGAAGAAAAGTATACACTGTACTGTACATTATGTACCTGCATGTCACACACAAATAATATTTCAAAGATTACATATACCACTGTTAGCATATACTTATGATTACTGTTGATAGTGCATGTACATGTAGGCCAAGTTTATATATACTATTACATAATAAAAAAATAATTAATATGATAAAAAAGTATCACCTATTATGAAACATTTTCCACACAATTTTCGCATCTCCTTGTGTGATTGTGTTGACAAGTTGCACATTCTGATTTCTTGCAAACATATGTACACCATTCAATGAACCAAGCACTGGAAATGGCAGCTGTTAATAAAACATTAAGCAAATACATGGATGTTAAACATATTTACCAGATTTTGAACTAGTTTTCTCCTAATCATACAAGAATTTTAGAGACTGAGAGACACCACAGTGCATATATGAAATAATTTAGATAGTTGAGCAGATTAGAGATTAGTAACCTGACCTTTGAAAATTTAAGACTGGGTGAATTTTCAAGATGTTAAATAGGTCAAGTTGGCATCTTAATAATTTTCTTAATTAACTTTGAGGGAGGTCAGAGGATATGCTCCCCTGGGATGATTTCTTAATTCTAGAGTCAGTAAATTGTGCCATTTTCAGCATTTTGGCAGCTATTTTAATGTGTTTTGGTGATCAATTTTACATATTAAGCATTTAACACATTTAACAACCTTATACTCCACTTTAAATCACAAACGAATCTAGAACATTTAAAATATAGGAAGATATAAAATTTCCAATACCAGAAATGAAAATATAATGCACATGCTTGTATTGGTCTGAATTTTTCCAAAGGGGGGGGCATTATTTTGCCAGGGGGCAGGCCCTCCGGCACGACACTGAAAATCTAAGTAAAAAGGTAAAACATCCTTTGACCCCCCTTTAAACACATGATGCTTTGTTAAATCCATATACCTGTATGTGTAGTTCTAAATTTTTCTTAAACAAAACCCTGGCATAAATAAAATTAGCGAGGGCTCATTCACCAGACTAGTGTTACATAATAACTACTATGTGGTCTACAGGCTGATTTTGCAAGTGAACTAGCAGTTGATTTTCAACATAGCTGAGGCCCACTAAGGGGCAGTTATGATCAACAGGCGACATTCTGACAGACTACCTATCTAAAAAAGATCGACAAACGACAGCTTCTGACTGGGAAATTAAAGGCAAAAATTGTGATTTGTGTTATGGGTCAAAAGTGACAGCAGCATTTATTACAAAACAAACGACAAAGCAGCTACAAAATGAGTGACAATTACAAATATAAGGGATATTAGAGGAATAGTGAATTCATGCATCCTTGAGTGGGTCCCACCCCTCCAAAAGTTGGGAATCTTCCTATTAATCATGGAACCATCCAAATGACCATGGTACTGTTTTAATTGTTGTTGCAATATTTTTAAATTTGTATGGAAATTGATAGAAAAATGTTTATTCCCAATAAAGTCAAAAGACTAATTAAAGTATATGTTTAAATATTATGAATAATTGTGCACATTATTTAATTAAAAGGGTTATAATTTTGCTTGCATGGGTTGTTTTCAATCTTAAACTTTTACACTTTGCCTCTTTAATAACAGTATCTGTTGAAAAGATGATTATTAGCTCAGTAATGCATAATATAAAATAATGCAAAATTGTGGTCGCTAATTTTCGAATAGGTCAATGAAAATAGGACAAATATTTTGTGCGAATATTTTGATCAAAGACTTGCATAAAAAATGCCAGATCAGTAGATGCCCCCCCCCCCAATGGGCATCGATGGGTGCATTTGTTCTCCACACCGTGAAGAATTTGATCCTGGGGGTTTGCCCTGTTGCCCAGGGGGGTGGGCCTGTGGGGGAGATCACAGCTTGGGATAAATTCCTTCACATGGTGGAAGAATTGTATTTGGCAAAAGCTGTGTGTTTCCATCTATTCTCACTTGGACAGGACCAGAAGTAAGTACTACAGGTATTATCCCAGTGCAAATATATAAAAGTGCAATTTTTTATATAGGCTATAGCCCTGTATTAATAAATATGCAATTTATAGGTATAGGATGTTCAAATGCAAATTGCAGACATTTTCCAAACTATGCTTTTGAAATTTTAAAGTCTTTAAACAATTTACCTGCGGCAAGTCACCTTTCGTCCTTGTAAACAACGGAATTCCACCTTCTGCCGTCAAGGCAACCAAGTAGGACGCCATATTGGATTGACCCCATGCGCATGCGTCAAGCTTTTTCAGAAATTCTGTAAACTGCATAAATTAAAAAGAAGAATGGCTATAAGCTTGATTTACGCATTAAACGGGAACGGATTTTAGCGCGAGGCCCCTCAACCCGTTATGAAAACCTTTGCAATTCAAAGACATACAAAATTGTTAAATAATTGCTTTCAATATTTCAATTGATTGGCATCAATTATAAACAATTGCCTGCCTGGCCCAGTTGTTGGGTCAACAAGTATAAACAGGATCATATATAACAGATCAGCGCAACTGGAGATTACATGCATACGAGTATTGTATATTTTCCTGGGGTAAACTGCCAATCCTAGGGGCCCTAAATGCGCGATGTTCCTAATTCGCGAGGCACCTAAAATGGGCGTATCCCAATAGAAAATAGACGTGTTCTCGTAAAAATGGGCGTAGCACAGTAAAGCGCGAGGCCCCCATAAGCGCGCGAGGCCCGCGGTTAATACTGCCACGTGGTTAATACGGCCCTGGGGCCAGCTAGGCGTTACTTTGCGTCCCGACGTACAGCGAAAATAACATCACATAGCAACCTGATCACGTAGTATATTAATTAATAAATATATATCATCTATAAAATAATTAATAAATAAAAGAATATAGTTACTAGCGGAGTTTTCGACTGAACTAGAAAGAAATTAAGTAAACGGCAACGGCGTGTAGTTGATAAGACGATGTCTACACTGGCCACCGAAATTCATTTGGAAAATGACATTAACCCAT